ACTTTAGTAAACGTATAAACGTATAGAAGGGGAAACTCCGCCCATTTTACAATGAATACAGAATGGGAGGGGCAACCACGCCCACATTACTAAACGTATAAAATAATAGAAGGGGAAACTCCGCCCACTTTTTAAGAAGTACAAAATAAGAGGGGGAACTTCGCCTACTATATTAGTAACATAGATAAATTCTTCTGATTTTTTTTTTTATTAATTACTGAACATGGGGACCTTCATTTAATTTTAAAATTCATGAAATTCTAATAGAGAAAATTTCATGGTTAGTTTGTTTTTTAATTAAAAAAAAGAGAAGTAAGCAGAACCGAGATATTAATTTAATATTTAAATAAAATTAGAAGCTATCAAATGAATCGCATATTGATGATGATAATAATAATAATAATTGCCTCGGGTGGAAATCGAGCAATTATTGATTCAATCAGTGTGAGTCGATTTAGACGTAACTTCCTAATCAGCTTTGGTCGGCAATAAATTAACAATATTTGAGAAATTCACTTCATATTTAGAAAATCAATTGACTATCCTTATATATTTAATATCATAATTAAAAATTGAAATTTCTCGTTTTCTTTAAATAGGATATTATTATAAAAAAAAGATAGTTTGGTTTTAACAATTTTTTTTTGGACCCATTTCGAAAATTTTTGCTCTTTGTATCAAAAGAAATTTTTGTTTCCTCTTCTGTAAGAAATAGAGGATATTCATATAGTAATTTCAAACTTTTTACATTTATTTCTTGTTTTTTAGGAAAATTATATTTTTGGTAATTTGAATAATATTTTCTTTCGGCGGAAGAAAGTTTGCCTTTGATCGTTTTTTGTTTGCAAAACAAAAATATGAAGAACATTATTAAAAAAAAAAATTCATCGCGGCTGAAAAGTGAGGTAAGAGCGACAAGAATTTCTTCCATTTACGTGTTGGAAAAAAGAATGAAAAACTATTGAGTGGATTGACTCCGGAGGTTATAGAGGAAATTAGCAAGAAAAAGATTATTTCCACTGACTCAACAATTTTCTATTAATTATAATAAGGGTTTGGGAAAAATGTTTTAAAAATTCATGCGAGAGGCAATCATGTGATTTTTTTTCTTTTTTTTTACAGATCAATAGATATAAAGTTTATTATTGACCTTCTCTGCAAAAATTTATAGGTCACGTGATATATCACATTCTAAGCCATGAATGGCGATAAGATTAATTCTTAAAAGTCTAAAAAGATTCGTTTTTCTATAATATATATATTTTTTTAAATATATATATTTATATAATATTATATTGAATTTTTATATAAATCATTGGCTATTTAAAAATTTTTTTTGTTGTTTAAGATTATTACTAAAATTCGAAGCAATTTACACGGGGCTAAAATCTACTTTTTTGTTTGGTTTCATTTTTTGGTAAATATATTTTTACAGCGATGCCTACATTTCTATGTAAAAAGTATTTATAATATTAATTACGCGTGTATAATCAATTGATTTTTATTTTTTCTTTTGTTATATCATCATTATCACTAGAATAATAATTAATTATGCACAGTTTCGGCCGTTTCGCGAACACTACTTGCTTTGAGATCTTAATTTTTTTTTAGATTCTTCTGACTTGAAATTATGTAAATTCACTTTCATTTTCACTCTGATTTTGGAATTTTCATTTTTTTAAATCCCAATTTCAAAAAATTGAGAAACAAATAAAAAAATTTTAATTTTTTTTTGGAAAGTGAAAAGTAAATTCGAAGTGAAAGTGAAAATACCCTATTGCATATTTAGGAGATAAAATAAAAGTAAAAATTTATAATTATAAATAATCTACAATTAAATATTAAAATATGAAAATAATAAAAGAAATAATAATTAAATAATCATTGAAAATGAAAGTGAAAATCGAAATGAATTTACATAATCGAGTCAGAATATTTTTCGATTCCACACTATCTTTTCTAGTAGTATTAAAAAAATGTGATTATTTGACAACATTAAAAAATTATTTGACGAAAAAAATTTTTAATTTTCAAAAAATCAATTCCCTGACCTTATGGCTAAAAATTTCTATTGAAAATAAATTTAAAAATATTTTCAAAATCACTCTTGTATACATGTTAAAATGGTTCAAACTTTGAAGATTTTTCTACGATATTTATTAATTTTTTTTTTTATTAAATATTCTTAACTCTTTGGGTACTTTTTTCTATTTTTTTACTTCGTTCCTTGTTGTTGTTATTATTATTGTTAACGATGTTAAATTATCACTATTTGAGGTGGAATTTTCTTTTTATTTTATATTTACTTGTCAAAATTAGATTAGATCACTTCTATACATATAAAAGTTTTCATACAAATGAGAGCATTTTTTTCGATTTTTTTTTTTCGGTAAAAAGCACATTTGGAATGGTCAGTTGAAAAAGTTTACAATAAATATAATTGGACTAGTGTGTTATTGGAGCGTTAATCCCACTCATCGGTATGTTGCGCGCGCACAAGTTATTCTACAGCAAGAGTGGTGGGAAATAAAGATCTCCTATTGGTCCTCCCACCACTTCAATAATATTTCGAATTAGAGAAACACTAGTCCCACTCTAGTGATTTTTCTTTTTAGACGACGCTACTTTTCTTTTTAAACATGATTGTCAATTTGCTTAGTGTGCAAATTTTTATTAGAAAAAATTTAACTATAGTATTTAACAATTATTATTATCAGAAAAAATATAATATTTCGACAAAAATAAAATAATCAATCTTAGAGAATATTTTTTAATTAATTAATATAAATAATATGAAAAAATATAAATAATATTAAATAATAAAATAATCAATCTTTGAGAATAATTTTTTTTAACAAAATAAACTTTAATATAAATTAAAAGTAAACTTGAATATATTATTTTTTAATAGTAATAATTTATTTAATATTTTTTAATAAGAATAATTTATTTGTAGAAAATTTAAATGGAGTATTTTGGGAAGAAGCAGAGCGCATGCGCCAAGAGTGGGGGGGTCAATGAGAGTGAGAGAGAAAAATTGGATGTTCTCTCTCACTCTCATTGCTTTGTGGCGCGGTTAGGTCTCGTTTTCTTTTATTTGATGGACCATAAAATTAAATCTATGTTTATTAAAGTAAGAATAATTTATAAATTTCATTTAATTTCTTAATGAAAGAAACCGATAATTAGTGACAATTCTTGCTTTTGATCAAAATATATGAAAATTTTGCTTTTTAAGAGTCTTTTTGTATGATTAGAAATTTTTCTCCCTTGGAATTATTTTTTTTTAAATAAAACTAAAAAAATTGAATCAAATAGTAAACAGTGATAAATGAATTGTATTATGTATAGAAGGCATCATTAATGTTGATTCCTTTGTTATAAGCTGGCAATGCTCTAATGGATGATATTGATTATATCATGATTTTACTTCCTATTATCATTAGACATGAGACATAATAGCGAGGCTAATAGGCACTAATAATACATGTTCTATTGTTCTCTAATCGTACATTATTTTTTTTAACAAGAAAAATGTTTTTAAGAAAAAATTATTGTTTTAAGAAAAAATTATTGTTTTTTTTTACAAATTTTGAATTTCAAAGAAAAAAACAATTATTATCAAAGAATATTAAGTAAAATTTTCATTTAAAAATCTATTAAGAAAAGTGCGGAATCATCAATACCATTTTTCACTTATATTGGACCCTACTCTTATTATTAGTAATGTAATTATATTTGATCAATTATTATTGCCTAATATTAAAAATACTATTGAGAGTTCTTTCAAATTAGGAGAGTTAATTATTAATTAATTAACTGATTAATTAACTAATTGATAATTGACTTTAATAATTAATTAGCGTTTAAATTATGTAATTAGATTTTTTAATTAATATAAAATTGGCTTTTTCATTAAAAAAGGTTAATTAAGTTAATAAATTTAAAAAAAGGTATTTTGTCAACAATGATAAATCAATCTCATAATTAATTACTTACAATCATAATTAATAATATTTAATGTCATAATTAGTTAGGACGCTAATTATTAAAAAAAATTAATTAAGATAATTATCATAATTACATTATTATAAGTAATTAACACTCAATTGTTAATTTCAACTTATTAAATGTTCCAATTTACGATTTTTTTTAATTATGATGCTAATTAATTATTTAATTTTTTGTTGTAAGTTAATAAATTTGAGTTTTTATTTAAAATTTAAAATTATCAACATTATGAATAATTAATTAAAATTCTAATTAATTATCGCGTTCATTTATAATATTTACATGTTTATAAATAGAAAATGGTCAAAATTTGTCGGAAAAGAAAAATCAATTTCATGGATATTTCCAAAAATTTGTAACTTTTAAAATATTTATATTATTTAATAGAGAAAACAAAAATTATAAAAAATATACGAACAGTTCATTTTTTAGGCTAATTTACTTAAACAAAATAAATTTATTAATTTATTGGAACTGAACAAATTTTGAAGAATTGAAGAAATTTAAGAAAAATTTTTAAACTTGATTAATTGTTAACTTTTTTAAAAATTATTTTATTAATTAAAAACAAATTATGTATTAATAAACATTTAAAAAATTCCTTACTGTTTTTAAAGTAATTGTTTAAATAATTAATAATTGTTCAAATAATTAATAATTGTTTAAGTAATTAATAACTGTTTAAATAATTAATAATTGTTTAAATGATTAATAATTGTTTAAATAATTAATAATTGTTTAAGTAATTAATAATTGCTCAAATAATCAATAATTGTTACTTAATATTTGTCAAGTAACTTGTACAAAATTGCAAGTATAAAGTATTTTTCTAAATAAGCACATAACACTTTTAGTAAATTAATTTTAAATTTAAAATATTTTTATATTTTAAATTAAATTTAATTTAATTCAAATTAAATTTTTAATTAAACATTTTTCCTAATTAAAATTTAGAGAATACTGTTGAGTTTAAATAATTTTTTAACATTTAAAAAACAAAATTTTTAACTTTAGAAAAAATTGATGAACAACAAGGTATATATTGATTTGTATTTATGAACAAAAAAAATCTTAATACAGAATTTACAATAAATAATTATTCCCTATATTTCTTTTTTCTTTTCGAGAAATTTTGACCGAAATGCAAATATATCGATATAATAACATCGTAAATGCATCTTGTTTGAGATCACAATGAGTCCATAATATGCGGAACGTTAAGAACATTATCGTTTACGCCTTACCTTAAAATATAGCCGATCAATTTTTTTTTCTCGAAATTTTTAATTAGTTTCTAATTCTTTTTTTCTTTGAGATAATATTGTACACTATGTATATTGAAAATTTAAATATCAATCGAAGATTCTTTTTTTATCATAAAACGTAATCCGGATTACAATATATTTTCGTATTTTTTTCTTTATATATATATAATATAATATGTATATTTATATAAAATTGCGTGCAATCGATTTGGAGAAAATAATATCGTATCGGCGATGTTGATATTTATTTGAGTATATAATGTATATGTGACGCGCTCCGAGAAGAAAATAAACGTTAGAAGACAAAAAATTTTAGGTTATGTTTGTTATTGATTGAAAATGCGAGAAATAAACAATGTTTTAATTTTCATTTTTATTGAAAATTATTGAGAAAAACTGATTTTTGTTTTAAACTATAAACACTGAAACTTTTCATTAGTAATGCAAACACATAAATTAAAAATTTTTTCTAAAGTATGTACATTTTTTCAGAGCGTGTCACATATGTAAATATGTATATTTATTTATAAGATCGAGCGATATTCGTGCTTATTTCGAATTATATTTTTTTTTAACCTTTTTTGCTTATTTTCATTAATAATAATAATTATTATTTATATAAAGTAATGCAATATTTACAGTAAATTTTATATTTCTATTTTCTTATTAATTAATATTACTGCGATTCTTTGGTGTATCGAAGACTAATTTAGCGAAATAAATTTACGACTAGAATTAAGATTAATTATTATTAATTAATTGATTAATAATTTATTTTCTTTTTTTTTGGAAGACCGGACTATCGGCGCGTGAGGCGTTTATTTTTATTGTTTTTTTTTCACTCCATTTTTGTTGCGCCGCTAACGACACTAGTCCGGTCACATAATATATTAACACGGATTGACTCAGTTTTTACGATTTCTTATCATCATTTCTAATAAATATTCATTCGGTGAGAATTTTCCGACTCAAAATTTCATTTGGAACGAACACAATATGAAAGTATATTTTTTTTTATGGTGCAAACTTACGAAGCTGTGATCTGATCCATTAAAAATTTTTTTTTGTGCAGATGACGCAAAAATCGTTTTTCTTTTTCATTCTCGACAATCTCTTTTATTTTTATGAAAATAAAAATTTAAATGAAAAAAAGACGATTATTGGAAAAAAAAATTGTCGAGAATAAATTTTTTTTTCTTTAATTGGGAAAGATTTTGAAAATCTTTATCTTTGCGTCATTTTGTGACTTTTCTGTGTGCGTATAGCTTCGCTACCTGTTTTTTTTATAACTTGACAGGTGTCTTAATTTTTATAAAAAAAAAATATTTATTTTATTTATATGAACTTATTTCGCTTGTATCCGATATTTACCTAACTTCGTAAGAAACGATTCTTAAATCGAAGATATGTCTTATCATTATCAGTTTTGTATTTTAAGGACAATGAGCTAAAAAGAAGTTTCTGCGACCTCTTTTTATTTTTTCTTCTCTCTTCGTCTTGATTTTATTAACATTATATAGCCAACCACTCAAACATTTTTTTTTGAGCCACTTCACTAATCACAATATCATTATATTGACATTATTAAATTATTTCACGATTTCAAAAATAAACCATACTTTTGTCATGTATTGTATATATATATAATTCTCATTTTATGTCATATTCACTGAATAATTTAATAGCATCAATAATTTTTTTCTTTTTGTGTTTAAAGAAAAAGAACTTTCAACTATTAACAATAAAAAAAAATAATAATATTTACGCGCATGTCTCCGAATATCCACTCTTTATGCTTTAGAAATAAAATTTCTCATTCGATGTAAAAAATAATGTTTTCTTCTTTACAGCATTAGATGATCAACAGTAATCGGTTGAAGGCCACTTTCCTATATTAAATTAAAAGACATTTTTGTAGAGATGAAATTTTTATTTAAGACTTTATATGTTTCTATTTAAAATTAAAATTTTAAAAGTAAAACGCAAAAGTGAAAGTGAAACTAAAAATGAGAATAAAAATGAATTAAATTGTCGATGTGAAATTAAAAATAAAAATCTTTAAAAGTAAAGCGTAAAGTGAAAAAGTGAAAATGAAAGTAAAACTGAATATCTCTTGAAGTGAAATTAAAAATAACAATTTTTAAAAGTAAAACGCAAAATAAAAGTGAAAATGAGAATAAAAATGAATAATTATTGTCAAAGTGAAATTAAAAATAAAAATCTTTAAAAGTAACGTGTAAAGTGAAAATGAGAATAAAACTGGTGGTCGATTATGTAATTTCACTCCACTTTCAATCTACTTTCACACCACTTTCAATCCACATTCACACCACTTTCACTTCACTTTCACTCCAATTTCGCTTTTACTCAAATTTTATTTTCACTTCACTTTGGCTCTAATTTCACTTTTACTCAAATTAAATTTTCACTTTTAATCAAATTTTATTTTCACTTCACTTTCGCTCCAATTTAACTTTTACCCAAACTTCATTTTCACTCTAATTTTACTTTTACTCGAATTTCATTTTCACTTTACTTTCACTTTCACTCCAATTTCGCTTTTACTCAAATTTTATTTTCACTCCACTTTTCCTTTTACATTTTTAATTTTCACTTTACTTTCACTTTCTCTCCAATTTCGCTTTTACTCAAATTTTATTTTCACCTCACTTTCGCTCTAATTTCACTTTTACTCAAACTTCATTTTCACTCCAATTTTACATTTACTCAAATTTCATTTCCACTTTACTTTCACTCCAATTTCGCTTTTACTCAAATTTTATTTTTACTTTCATTTCCCTTTTTCAAATTTTATTTTCACTCCACTTTCACCTCACTTTCACTCCAATTTCACTTTTATTTAAATTTTATTTTCACTCCACTTTCACTCTACATATACTTTTATTCAAATTTCATTTTCACTTCACTTTCACTTGTAATTAAATTTTATTTTCACTTAACTTTCGCTCCAATTTCACTTTTACTCAAATTTCATTTTCACTTTACTTTCACTCCAATTTTGCTTTTACTCAAATTTCATTTTCACTCCACATTCACCTCACTTTCACTTCAATTTCACTTTTACTCAAATTTTATTTTATCTCCACTTTCACTCTACATTTATTTTTACTCAAATTTTATTTTCATTCCACTTCAACTTAAATTTAAATATCACTCTCCTTTCATTTGCACATTTTATTTACCTTGTGAAAATGAATGTGAAAGTGTAGTGAACATAAAATTAGAGGAAAAGTGAAAGTGGAGTAAAAATAACATTTAAGTAAAAGTAAAATTGGAGTGAAAGTGGATTGAAAATAAAATTTGTGAAAGTGAAAGTAAAGTGAAAGTAATGTGAAATTGAAGTGAAGTGAAAGTGAAGTGAAAGTGAAGTAAAAATAAAATTTATGAAAGTGTAAGTGAAGTTACAGCACAGAAAGAACATACAATTAATTATTTATAAAAAAAATTATTCTTACCTTGTATTTAGCATTAAGGTAATATATAGTCGCGAATCCATTCGTTATGCCTTTAATTGGACGAGAAGCAGCGTTTATATTTATACACATATGTATATTTATGAAGATGGAAATATCGAATTCAATCTTCAAATGTTGAAAAATTTCACCGATTCCCGCTGAACACTTTTAGTTTGACTATTTGCTTTCGCTTTTTAGAAACTAAGGAATAAAGCATTTAATAAGTGTCGGTGACAGCGTAAAATCGACGGGGGCTATTTGTTACACATCATCCTCGACGCTTCTCAAGGGAATTTGTAATTTCTGCGCCAGTGCATTTACCACGTGGACCAGTTGATCAAGTTTCTTGTCCATAACAGCCAACTGAAATTGAAAAATTTCATTTTTTTTTATTATTTAGAAGGGGATTCAAAAATGTCTCGAAATTATCTAATCTGAAGAAAGCCTTTGTATTCTAATATGTTTTTAAGATTGCTGAATTCAAATGTGATTTTTTGGATTAAAAAATTCAAAATGGCGGATCCAATATTCTAAACTTATTTAAAAATGCTTGCACGGAAAAAAAAAGTTCGAAGATTATTCGGGAACTTCGTTCTTAACTCTTGGATACGGCGGGTAGTTCACAGAGAACTAAAGGTTGCCTCGTTTAAATATGTCATTTACTATTTCTCTACAAATTATAACTATTTCACCACTTCTCGGAAAACTGTTCTTGAAAAAGTCGGGAACTGTTCAAGAAAATCGAAAAGTTAGGCGAATGCAAGAAAAAATGGATTCTGCTTCCCCCCTCCCACTTCCCCTCCTTGACACGTCCGCACACACACACACATTTATCCTTGAAGATCACATACAATTTTTATTTGTTATTAAGTTTCTGAAATAGAAAAAACCATATGAGAGAAAAATCGACGGCGGCTGGAACAGAACTCGCGTACCCGAGGAATAGAAGTCCGGCGTCTTATCCATCTGAGCTAAACAGGAGCGTTAAATACCTCAGCATAAAATAAATATATAAGGCACGCAAGTCTTACTGACGTTGAGACTGGTGCGCACAGTTTCTGCGCACCAAGATTCCTTGACGAGTTCCCGAAAATTTCAGAAACAGTTGCGGCCAGTGCCATGGACTTTACATGAGAAAGAAATGAAAAAAAGACTATTGGACTATTTACAGCGTTTTCTAATACAGTTCCCGAATTTCTTTCAAACATTCATTGATTACCATTGAATGTTCGACGCTAGTTCAGAGCTGTTACCACGTATCCAAGAGTTAGGAAATAATTCCTGAAATATCTGGGAACTTTTTTTTTCCGTGTGGATCTGAACAAAATTTTTAACTTTTTAAATTTTGAATGTCGTTGAAGTCAAATATGATAATCGCAAAATTTTCTTCTCAAAAATATTAAAATTTCAAGTTTTGTTCAGTCCACCATATTGGATCGGTCATTTTGAATTTTTTAATAAAACCATCATATTTGAATTGAGCGGTCTCAAAAACATTAGAATACCAAAGTTTTCTTCAAAATAGACAATTTCGAGAAATTTTAGTAATTTAATCCGCCATTTTGGATTCGCCATTTTAAATTTTTTAATTTTAACATTATTTTTTTATTCAGCGATATTAAATGCTTATAAAAATGAAGTTTTATGAAATTTTATTATGAATTACCAGTGGTCTATGTATTTCAAAGTTTTATTTTAACCGCACCAAAAAATAAAGAATATTCTACGCATTAAAGTGGAATTTTTGAGAGAATATTAAAAGAGGTATGAGGTATGAAAAAAATTTATTTATTTTTTTATATTTTCGATTCTTCATTATAATGTAGATGTGATAATCTGTGTGTATAGAAAATGTAAAATTTTTGTTTGCAATGGATAATTAATTTTCTTACATTAACGCGAATAGATTGGAATAGTGAAGTAAGACTTTCTTGGAATAATTCTCTTTTGACTCGCATTTTCCGCAAAAGCTTTAAGCCGATCAGTCAAGTTCTGATCCGTGTATATGTATATGTATACGACACATACATATATATATATATATATATATATATATATATATATATACATACTATATAAGGTCGACGGCGGTAGACAAAACTTTTCTGACTTTACACGAGCGTTGAATAGGTTTCAGGAAATTTAATGTCACCATAGAGAAACCGCGCGTCAGGATTACCAACTTAATCGAGTATTCGTGAGTCTTTTGGAAATGGGAAAATTGATATATTACTTGAGGTTCTTTTCCAGGGAAAAATACTACTTTTGCCATTACATATATATGTATAAATATTTTATTTTTTCCATCAACAGTAAAAACACGGATAAAATAATATATAATGCAAACATTAAATCCTTTTCTTTAAAAAAAAATAAATATATAAATATCGTTTCTACAAGGATGGAAAATAATTGCATAAATATTTTAGGTAAAACTACAAAATATTATTTGCAGAATTCTATGTTACTAGATAGACAGAAAAATGGGAAATTTAAAAATTTAATCAAATTAAAACGCACGTGGATTAAAAACCGAGAGAAGAACTTATTAATGAATTTGCTATTATTATTATTATAAATATAAAATTTTGAATTGCAAATGGATTTTTAGTTATTTCCTGAATTTACTACTTTTTATTATTTTACCATTTTTATCATCGATGTGAAGAAGGGGTGAAAAGAAGAAAGAATGAAAAAAAGAGAATGCTAACATGAGTGAGAGGGAGAAAAAAAAATTTTTTTTTACCTGCTGCTCCACGCGGTAGAGGCGTGCGCCAATCGTCATTGGCTTTACGTTGCCTGCGCGGTCGATGCCTGCCAGGTAGCTTCCTGGTTTACCCAGGGTTTGATCCAACCTCCTCTGCAACTCCTGCAACAACCCACATTGATTTTCACATATTATCCAAATTCAATTACTGATTATATTTTTAACCTTTCAGAATTATTTTATTCTCATCATCGAATATAATAACTGACATATCGCCGCTTTAATAAAGTCAACTTCATTTGCAAACTAATTTTTTTTTAAAATCTCCCATTAGTGCTTATTAAACAACTCGGCACTAATTAATCAACTTTATCGTATTCTACTTAACAATAAATAATTATTTTCCAAATTATTCGAATGAATAGAAAGTTATTTTCAAATTTATAAGCATAAACATATATAATTAATATAGCATCTATATAATTTTAATATTATTTCACCAGAATTGTCAATAAATACATTAATTCCAAAATTAATACCTCTTTTAAAAATTAAATATTTAAATAACGAGTCGAAAATGAAAACCAATAAAATATGTACTAGAATAAATTATTTATGCATACAATTTTGCAGATGATGATTTAATTATTGAAGAAAAAAATTTTTTTATTAAAATAACTAAAAAATTATTAAAAAACAAAAGTTTTATGGTTGAAAAACACACTCTACACGGATTTTTCTTTACCCCATTTCCGGGTGTAATGATTGACATTTTACGATAAGTGCCCAGAGCTTTTGATTAGCCGTTTTGTTATATATTCAAAACTGGTTTGCACAGTGACAAGTCCATTGTTCCTTTTTGAATTTTATTCCGACTGTTTTCCCAACGCTCACTGTCGAATTGTTCCAACTTTGCAACAATAGATATTCATCTTCATCGACAAAAAAAAAACGTAAAACATCTGTGGTAATATTAAACATGACAATAGTTAATTTGTAAAAAGCAATAAAAAATAACAAAACTTCGTAATTAAATATCTATTAAGAAAACAAAATAATTTCTTTTATTACTTGAGAGGATTCACTATTACCATAGATTAAAAAAATAAACCACGCCTATAATTAAAATATTAAAGTTTCGAAATAACTGCCTCTAGTATTGTCACAAGCATGTTTAATTAAGTGGGCGTTGATAATATTGCCCGCGCCTTTAATAGGTCAATAAACGCTTACTATGAATCTGTAAGTAGGCGGAGTCTCATAAATCACGCCTACTTAAGGCGTGCTTAATAATCCCCCTCTCCTCTAACAAGCAGTCACGCTTAAGTTGGCGTTAATGCCCCGCCTTTAGTAGATACTAGTTATAGCTCCATAGTAGGCGTTTGTCTACTATGGAGCTGTAAGTAGGCGTAATCTCATAAGCCACGCCCACTTAAGGCGTGTTTCATAATTCTCCTTCCTCTATAAAATATTCACGCCTTAAGTGGGCGTTGATAATAATGACCCCGCCTTCAGTATCAATAAAGGTCTTCTAAGGAGCTGTAAGTAGGCGGTCTCTCGTAAGCCACGCCCACTTAAGGCGTGCCTAATAATCCCCCTCTCCTCTATCAAACAGTCACGCCTTAAGTGGGCGTTGATGCCCCGCCTTTAGTAGATACTAGTTATAGCTCCATAGTAGGCGTTTGTCTACTATGGAGCTGTAAGTAGGCGTACTCTCATAAGCCACGCCCATTTAAGGCGTGTTTAATTATTCTCCTTCCTCTAAGAAATATTCACGCCCTAAGTGGGCGTTGATAACAGTGACCCCGCCTTTAGTAGATCAATATAGGTTTTCTAAGGAGCTGTGAGTAGGCGGACTCTCATAAGCTACGCCCACTTAAGGCGTGTTTAATAATCCCCCTTCCTCTAGCAAACAATCACGCCTTATGTGGGCGTTGATAATAGCTCCCCCCGGTCTTTAGTGGGTCCATAAACGATTACTAAGAAGCTGTAAGTAGGCGGAGTCTTATAAGCCACGCCTTTAAATAGGCGTTGCAAAAATTTTGAGCACTATAACTAGGCGGAAAATTATAATCTATTTAACTCCTCTTAAATGGGAACGTTAGAAAAACAATCGAAGATGCTGTTAGATGGAAACTTATTAGTCATTAAAATTCTCGAAGGGCATTAGGGACAATATTGAATTAATATGCCACGCCTCTGAGTAGGCGTGACAATATTTTAAAAATTGTAAATTAGTCGGGAACTTATAGAATACTTCATCTCTTTAAGATAATACTAGAAAACTATTGAAGATAATACATAGGCGTAGAATTATAGGCCACATAACTTAAGTAGGCGGAGATTTATAATGCATAAGACTCCGCCCACTTGAGATTCACAATTTATTAATAAAAAAAACCCTCTTTAGTAGGCGTTGCAAAAATTTCGGAAACAGTAAGTAAGTTGAAAAATTAAAAGCCACGGTTTCAGAATTAAAAAAAAATCTAATCTATATATAGATGTAGAGAATTGTGAGCTCCGCCTTTTTGTGGGCGGAGACTTATGAACTAAGCCTCTGAGTAGGTGTTGCTAATGTATTTAAAAAACATTTCCTTGAATTTTTAAAATTAAACAGATTTGATTGAAATTTCACTCTCGAGAGTTTTCAGAATCGCTGAATCCAAATTTAATGTCAGATTTACAAAATTCAAAATGGCGGATCTAATATATCCATCAAAGATTTTCAAAATTGAACAAATTTGATTGAAATTTGACTCTGGAGAGTTTCAGAAGGCGCTGACTTCAAATTTAATGTCAGATTTACATAATTCAAAATGGCGGAACCAATATGGCGGTAATTTTAAAATTAACTCAATTTGATCGAAATTCACTTCTCAGGGATTTTCGGGATCCTTGAATCCAAATTTGACATTAGAATTCAAAAATTTAAAATAGCGAATAATTTTAAAATAGATGCGATTCAATCAAAATTATGACAACCAAACTCTTTGAAAGTTGGAGAAAAAATATTTAATTTCATTTTGCAAAATGTTATTTAATTTATTGACAAATTTAAACCATTTTACAAACAATAATTCATTTCAAATTTGTGAGGGAAGGGGGTAAACAAAATCTGTTATCTTTTAAATACAATAATCTTCTTTCATTTTCAATTTGACAATCTGTTTTTATCCCATGTGAATTGTTTAAATAATTCAGAATTCTATGAATAGTGAATGAAGGCAAAAAAAAAAAATATATATAGAGTTCGATCATCAATACAGCAATCGAGGCAAATTCTCTGAAATCAGCAGTGTTTACTCACCTACAGATTTTTCTCGAATTTAGTCTTTGAAAGGTGAAAAATTTCAAATGGAAACGAGAATAGTGCTTTTAATTAAAATGCCATCGAAAAAGGGGGAACTTCAATTTTTTTTTGACGTTGTTTTAGAATATTGTGTTTGACAAAAAAAAGAGAAAAAGTTTTAAAAAATTAAGTCCTTTGAGACAGGTAAATTTTGAAAAAGGAAATAAAACACTTTTATCCATTAGACTGTCAATAGTTTGAAATAATGTTTTTCCTCCCATTTCAGTTATTTATTATTTTTTTAAATCTAATTTTAGTTTTGACTTTTATTTTCATTTTGAATTGATTTTTAATACTTTAAATTTTTTTTAAGTTCGAAAATTGTATTCGACAAGTAAAATTGAAATTTTGAAAATAAAGAAGATGGAAAAATCTGTTTTTTAATATCAAATCCGTAATTTAATTAGAAATTATTGTGAATAAAATGTAGTATAGTGATTTTTACTTCTTGTTGTTTATTTTTCATTTTTTCATTCGAATGAAATTTTGTTTAATCAATAAACCGATATGTGCGATTATATACTGATAAAAGAGAAAGAGAGAGAGAAAAATGTACCCACTTTTATTCGCACCATCATGTTTAGGTGTCCTTGGCTGTACTGCTCGATTACATCCCGCACATCGTAGGGCTTGCGAGCTTGTTGGAACTTTCTACGGGCCACGAAGTATTTGATCTTTCTGATTGCTCTGATGGCATTTCGATGTGCCTCCGTTAACCTGAAAGCGAAAATATTCCACATCAAAGAGCCAGTCACTTGTTTTTTTCCCCCTCAATATAATTTTAATTATTACTAGATAAAAAGAAAATAAAATTTTAAAAAAAGTTTTTGTAAAAAATCTAGAAAATAATTTTAAAAAATTTGATTTCAATTAAAATAATTTAAAAATAACTATTTAAATTGAAAATCAACAAAAATATCTACTTTTCTAAACATAGTTTCATAAAAAGTATCAATTTTTTTTTAATTTTTAAAAATTCTAATTTTAAATCAATTTTTCATTTGATCCACATATTTGGTATTAATTCGTTGCAATCTTTAATACTTTTAAGTTAACACAGTGAAACTTGGAAAACAGTGAAGAAAGTAATTTTAATTAAGCAAAAATTTTAAATTAGTTTTATAATTATCGCTTTTTATTTCGAATCTGGAATATTTAAATATATCTTAAAATATTACATAATTATTTGCACAATTTATGTAGGATTAAATAGATTGAAGAGCATTATAAAGTTTCATTAAGTCAATAATCTTTGAGATAAATTTCCTTGCAAGAGAACTTCTTAAAGAGAGAGCGAGAGAACTAAGAGAGTGAATCTCTAATTAGAGATTTCGGTATTAATCTTCAGCGTATTGTTATCATTTTAAATATATGTTTCAGCTCTATACTATGATAAGTAACACAAAATATCCAAGACTTCAATATATATATACGTGAGAAAATTTTGAGCCACACCCCTTCAAACTCTTCTCACCCCCCCCCTCTCTTTTAGCACTACTATAGTCACGTACAAATTCGCACACAAAGAAAAATTATTCGCAAACTTCTCCCCATAACGATTTCAGTAGAATTTAACTCGAATTCCTTGTAAACTTTTTGAGAAATTTTAAAAGAAATTTAATCGGTATCAGAATACTGACTGTAATCAGACTTTCGAGGAAAAAAAACAATTTTAGAATTAATTAACTAAATATAGACCTGATTAGATTTTTAAAATTCAAAATGGCGATCATTATTTAAAATAATTTCTGGCATATTAGATCCAACATTTTGAATTTTAAAAATTGGACTTCATATTTGTAATTAGCGACCCCTAAAACGCCCGAGTAACAAGTTTCAAGTGAATTTGATCAATTTTAAAAATAAGTCCGCCATATTGGATCCGCCATTTTGAATTTTGAAAATCTGAAACATCCGACTTCAGATTCTTAATCAGCTACCCTGAAAACCCCTTAAAGTGTACTTGGTTATTAAATCCTTTAATTAGAAAAAAGTATGCCAAAAAAATTCTACGGATATTAAGCATAATTTCTACAAATAATAATGAGATTTTTCTACAAAAAGTTCGCAACGACTTTTGGTAAAATACAATTAATTGACCCCACCCGAGTCGAACTTTTAGACCTGCTTACCTACTGGTAAGTATAATTTAATCCTAACCTGCACCTAACAAACCCTTGGTGTTTTTTTCCTCCTGCGTAAGTTCTATTTAACTCTGGCAACTCCTTTTTAAGTCCTAATTAAACCTTAAACCCTGTATTGCTTCTACAATACATATTCTTACAATAGCAAATGTTACGCGTGGAACGAGATATACAACTTATTATTGTTATGCAAATTACAAAATTTTTATTTTGAAAATTTCACGAAAGAATTCAATTATTTTCTAAAATTTTAATAAATCCTTCGAAAAAACTCAATTATTTTTATAAATAGTAAAATACTTCGCAAGAATTCAATTAATTTTATAAATAGTAAAATTCTTTGCAGGAATTCAATTATTTTCAAAACAATTTTAATTGAATTCCTCAGATGAATTCAAATATTTTTAAATATTTTCATAAATTGCAATTAATTTCTTAAACTTTAATAAATTCTTCGAAATAATTCAACTATTTTTATAAATACTAAAATTCTTTGCAGGAATTAAATAATCATTAATCCAATTAAAATAAAATTAAACGAAAGAATTTAATTATTTTTAAAAATGTTCATAAAATTTAATTTCAACAAGAATTTAAAATTCTCTAAAAACAATTTAATTATTCTCAAAATATTTTTAAAAAATTCTATATAAAAATTAAATTACTAGATATCTCAATGCAATTTTTAAATATATTCGTCAAAAGAATTGAAAGAATATTATTTCCAAAAAGTAATTCAATTATTTTGAATATACTTAATTTTAATAAAATTCTTTAAAGAAATTCAATTATTTTCGAAACAACTTTAATTGAATTTTTCGAAAAAATTTCATGATTTTCAAATATTTCTATAAAATTCTTCATAACAATTTAATTATTTCTTAAAATTTTAATAAATTCTTCGAAACCTTTCAATTATTTTGATAAATAGTAAAGTTTTTCGCAAGAAATCAATTATTTTCAATACAATTTTAATAAAATTCTTCTTCATAAAATGCAATTGCTTTCGAAATTTTCAATTAAAATTATTAAAGAAACTCCATTAGTTTAAAAAAAAATTCAAAGAAATTTTTCAAAAGAATTTAATTAGGATTTTTAAAAATATTAATAAAATTCTTTGCGAGAATTTAGTTATTTTTCTAAATAAAGAAATTCTTTTTGAAGGAATTCTATTATTATCAAATTTTTTGATAAAATTCTTTGCAACAATTCGAAGATTTTCAATACATTAATTTTAATATTGAAAATATTTGAAAAGAAAAATTAAAAAAAAATTAACTGCGAATAGGTTACCGAAACATGTACTTTTTTATTATTAATTTATAAATATTATTTTTAACTGAAATGTTTTGACATTTTTTTTTAATAATAAAAATATTAATTTATGAATGTTTAAAGTAGGTTATTAATATTAAACAATTTATTTATTTGCTGTAGTGTATTAGTGTCAATAAATGCTTTATTGAATCACCAAAACCAATAACTCAAAAAGTCACTGAAAATAAAGCGTCTGTGTTCAGTTAGGTTCCGTAGCATAGTGGTTAGGGCGTTAGTTTCGTAGTCCGTAGTTCGTAGGTCGTAGGTTCAAGTATCGCGTGCGTTAGATTTTATTTATTTCGTAGGTTTGCGTTTATTCCAATTTTTTTGTATTGTATAGTTATAAGTATGCAATTTAATGATTATATACACCGTTAAATAATTTAATTAACAAATATTTAATTTAAAAATTTTTTTTTATATATAAATGGATATGTATTAATCCTCACATATATACTAAACATTATTTATGAATTCGCTATTAGTCACGATTAAATTAAAAAAAATTAAAAATCATTAAATAATAATGCCATTTATTAATAATTAAAGTTATTATAAAAATTAGTTAAAAATGATCTCAAATATGCTATGAGCAGTTTTTCCAGGGTTTTGGGAGAGGAAAGAATTCTGTAAGTAAGGATCAAGCAGTATTTAATAAGGTTCTAGGAACACCTGCGTTTCCTCCTTTTACCATCTAAATTTGTCGCTAACCAGGGGTTTGCAGGAGGTAATCAGAGTTAACTTGCAATGCAAATAAACTCTGCTTTCATCCTATTACATCCTTACAAACCCTCAGTTTTAAGGAGGTAAGCAGACGTCTAAGAGTTCGACTCGGGGCATCTTTATAAAAATTCTGTAAAATATTTGAAGTGGCCAGAATTCCTCCCCTATGGTCAAACCACGAACTTACCCTAATGGGAAAAAAAATTATCAAATAAAAGAACTTGTAAATTATCATTACAAAACTGTCACTCCTTAATATATGTACATTAATGTGATAATAAGTGCCCAGATATTCTATTGTTTGTGAGCAAAATGCTATTTCTGCGTGGAATGGTACTTCGGCTTGAAATTCACCGAGCTTTATTCACTCGAGTAGGAAGTCTAACTTCACAATGCGGTTAATATTGTAGAATCTGAGATGTCAGATGAAAAATAGACTTGAAATGAAAATATATACAGATAAATCGATAACATTATTATTATTTAAAAAGAAAAGAAGTTTTTTTATGAAAAAAAAATTTTTGTGCATTCTTGAAAATAATGACTGGTATTATTTTTAGAATAAAATTTTCTTTTTTGCAGAAAAGTTTTTCAATAATATAATAATAATAATGGTTGTAAATGCATATATGGCGACTTGAGTTTAATAAATGTCGAAAAAAGCAAAGTTTGAAGATGGTCGATTTTCCAACAGTTGGCAGGGAGTTTTAGATGAAAATGTAGGTCGTTACGTAAAGTAATGTAGAGTACTAGAGAGGAGTTTTACTTTAAACAAAGAAAGTTTTCCACACATTAAACCCCACTGGCACATGGTTTATAACTTTATTGCGTGCGTTATGAAATCTGTTTTTGAAAAACTAACTTAAAAAAAAAATCAAACTTGTTAAAGAAATTCCATTTGAATTTTTACGAGATAGTTGTTTAAAGTTAATTTTTCGATATTATTGTTATATCTCAACTGATGATAGAAAAATATTCCAGATTTTTTGCTTCTTTTTATTTTCTCCGCTATAAATTTTGCATATATTTTTTTAAAGTTTCCAAATATTTTGTTTTCTAAATAAATATTTTGTATAAGTGCAACAAGTACGTAATATGAATATTAAAAAAAAATTTTATATTACATTTTCTTATATTGATAATAATAATAATAATACATATATGTTTATGCATCAAGTCAAAGCTTGTGTGCTTACGTGGTAACTCTTTGGGGCTCCTCGATGTCAATGTCAATTTCGTCGCTGGCAGCCTCCGTCACAGAGCTCGTTTGCGAAGTGAAGAGGCTTCCCCTACAGAATGGAAACACACTATTCTCACTAACATGCACGAGAAACATGTTTCCTCGACAAGCACTCTCTTCTCAACAGAAAGTGCTTTTTAATTAGTTAACTACAGTTTGGCACTAATCGTTAAAGCAATCATTATCATATTACACTTATCATTTTTCTACTATACATTTTAAAAACAATATTTTTTATAAAAATAAATTAATTTTGAATAAATAATTTAAAAAAATATTTTGCATTTTTTAATCAATTAACAATAGGAGAAAAATTGTCTTTCATTTTGGACTGTATAACAAAAAAAAGGGTTCGAGAAAACGTGTAGGTGAAAAAATAGAAAGGATTCGAAGCGAGAAAAGTAAGACACGCCTTAATGATAAGCCACGCCTTAAGTGGGCGTGGCTAAAAGCACAAAATATTAGGGGCGTGGTTTCATTTCACTCAGTCATAAATTTTTTGAATTGTAAACAATTAACAATAGGAGAAAAATATGGTCTTTTACTTTGCACTACAAAAAAAGTGAAGGTGCAAAAATAGAAAAGATTCAAAGAAAAAACAGGACACGCCCTAACGATAAGCCACGCCTTAAGTATGCGTTACGAAAACTAAGTCAGCCTACCTATAGAGCTAGGGGAAAACAATAAGCCATTCCCATGAGGCGGTTTAAGTATTAACCATGCCCTAAATTTAAATAACAAGAAGTGAGTAGTTGTTGCTAAGAACAAAATACTGTGGTCGGAGTTTTATTCCACCTGGTCGTAATTCGACAACAATTTTGAAATTGTAAACAATTCAGAATAGAAGAAAAAAATGGTTTTTACTTTGGACTACAAAAAAAGTGGGCGACAAAACGTGGAGGTGAAAAAATAGAGAGGATTCAGAGAGGGGACACACCCCCTTAAGGCGTGGCTTATCAATAATAAGCCACGCCTTCAATGGGTGCGGCTAAAAGCGCAAAATATTAGGGGCGCGGTTTCACTTTTCATGGTCGTCATTATATACAAATTTTTTAATTGTAAACTGTTAACAGTAGGAGAAAAATTTACATTCAAGGCCTGGCTTATTAAGCCACGCCTTAAATGGGCGCGGCTAAAAGCGCGAAATATTGGGGGCGGGGTTTTATTTTTTTCGGTCCAGGTAGAGAAAGCGGAGAGTCACGCCCACCAGACGGTTACACCCCCTGAGTAGGCGTTACAAAAATTAATTCAGCCACGCCCACAAGGCGGTATCAGTATCAGCCACGCCCTAAATTTGAATCAACTCAATCTTTTGTGAATGGAAAAAAATGACAAACCGCATTTATATGCAGCTTTTGACAGTACAGAGATAAAAATTCAATAATTTTCTCCAAATTTTAAAAGGATTTGTTCAAAAAGCAAAAATTTTTTTCTCTCTAAAAAATTAATTTTGTTTCAAACAACAAAAGGAGCTATTTTAAGAAAAAAACAGTGAATGAACGAAGGGGAAAAAATGGATTGAGTAATTAATAAAAAGTAAGAGGAAAACTTTTAATGGCAGACTGAAAACGTTTATAGCTGAAGTGAAACAGTCTTGAAAAAGTTCTTGGAAAAGCATTATTATTAAAGTTTACTATGGAAATCTTTCTTTCCTATACATAGATTGTATAGGAAGTAAGTATTTTTTTTCTCAAAGTAAATGTCTATGGAATGGAAGGTAGGGGGGATTGTAAAAAATGTATTTCCGTAACTTCAAAAGAAAATGAAGAATAGAGTATGTGTATATATATATATAGAAATACCAACACAATGTACTATTAGAATTTCCTGAGATAATATTCCCTGGGGGAAATTTGAGGATTTAGGTACAACACTGAAGAATGAAATGGTTGTCAGGTGCAAGGCACGTTCGGTTTCGAGAAGCTGTCAACTTGTCACTTACCGATTGTCTCTTCTCGCTCTATTAGGCGTACTCGCTTTTGGCTCCTCCATGTAGAAGACTACGTCGTTCTCATTCTCCATTCGTTGTTGTGAGCCATTTTGCCCGGTAGTTGTGCCACCGCCGCCACCGCCACTGGATATCGTTACCGGCGGTAATGCCTGCTGCTGTTGAGTTTGTTGTTGTACATCCATTCGATTCCGGGATTTTCGCCTCTTCAGGACACTCGCCTTTTTGGCCACCTGGATCATCAGAGACTGAACCCCCGGTGCCCTCCCGTTACAACACATAAAACACACAGCATGCACTAAAAACCACCACGACCTTAATTTTTATTTTAACGTCATGGTAAGGCCAATTTACCCACTATTGTTTTCTGTGTCGTTTTTTCTTTTTTTGGAAATTCAAGCTCGCCTATATCATTGGTTTATAAAGTTTTCAGTCATGTTTTTGAGATAATTGTAATTTTTTTTGCTACTTTAAACAACTGTTACTGAAAATCGAAATATATAAGGAAGGTGACTTCACATCAGAAATATCACAATCTGCAAGTGGTTCTTAAAATTTGACGAAACTTGGGGAAATTATAGTTTTATATTTATGAGCAAAATATATGTAAAAGAAATTTTCAAAATATCTAAAATTGTAGAACTTTAATCTTTTTGAATTTTACATTGAATTTATTTCATTCTTTTTATAAATCGGTCAATTTTTGACCGATTTTGATTAATCAAACATAAATTTTTTCAGAAAAATAAGGAATGTTTAGAAAATTATATAGAATAAAAAAAATTTGATATTTAAATATAAAAAAGTAAAAATAATAATAATTTCATCTGTAATTTAAAAACTTATTAAACGCGGATTTTTGGAAATGTTGCTTACAAATTTGAAGTTAGATTTAAAAAAGTAAAAATGACGGGTCCAATATGGCGGAGAAAAAAATTAAAAATCAAACGGATTTGCTTGAAATTTGTTACTCGAGTGTTTCTTGGCCTCCTAATTACAGAACTGAAGTTACATTTAAAAAATTTTAAATGACGGATGTGATAGAAATTGTTGAATTCGTATAAAATATGGTCTTAAGGGTTTTTTTCGTTAAAACTAACAAAATTGTTTTTGAAAAAAATTTCCGCTATATTTTGGATCCGACATTTTAAATTTGTAAAAATATGACTGTATATTCGTCATCAGCGACCCCAAAAATCCCCCAGTAAAAAGTTTCAAGCTAATCAAAATGATTTATATTTTTTCGTCCGCCATATTGGATCCGCCATTTTAATTTTGAATATCTGATTTCATATTCATGATCAACGACTCTGAAAACCCGCGAATAACATATTTCAAGAAAATGCTATTGATTTTTAATTTCTTCCTCCACATTTGATCCGCCATTTTAAAATTTGATGTATCAAAGAAAATTTCATCGAAAAATTAAATTTTTTGAAAATTTGAACTTTGCAAAAAAAATAAAATCATCAGAATTATTAATTAAAACTATGAATAGTTTAAATGAACCGTTTATAGTTGCACTAGGAATAATTTGAACTTTGCAAAAACAAAAAATCATCAGAATTATTAATAAAAACTATGAATATTTTAGTTGCAAAAAAATAAAATCATCAGAATTATCAAATTATCAAACTATGAATAGTTTTAATTAATAATTCTGATGATTTTTTTGTTGCAAAATTTTATATGAAATTCATTTTGAAATTAGTTGAAGTTTTGGTAAATTGAAAAATTTTAGAATAATTAAAGTTTCGTAAAATTGAATTATAAACACAAACTGGATTTCAAAAATATTTTAAGTGATTTTTTTTCAATTTTGAATACCCTAAGTTTTCAAGAAACTTTCTCAAAAATTATAAAAAATAATCGATTAACAAAACAAATTTTAATTAAAAATTCTATAGAAATTAATTGAATTGAAATCTTGAAAATAATTTTGAACAAGTTACAAAATAGCAATTTTGATTAATTATTAAATTTTGAAGGTTAGAAATTAGAAATTTTTTTAAATCTTAATTTTTATTAGAACATAATAGTAATGATTTAATATTTATCTTAAAAAAATTTTAGATTCGAATAGTTTTCCAATTATTAAAGATACTCACAAATAAATATATTTAATAGTGCAACAACCCATGTATATGGGGCATTCCACGCCAAGTCGGACACCTTTTGACTTTTGCATCTCCGATTTTTTTCAAATATTTTTTTTCTTTTAGTGCTCGTTGAAATGAGCTACCATGATTTTTTTCAAATTTTTTCATCAAGCGGTTTAAGAGATACAGGTTTTTGAAAAATCACGTTTTTTACGTAAATTTTTTTCTGAAATGCTTAAACTCGGACAAAAATTGATCAATTTTGACGTTCGATATATGAAAATTTTTGTTTTTACACGTAGTTTTTGATAAAAATATTAAAAATTTTTTTTTTTAAATTTACCAAAAAAAATTTAAATTTTAAAAATAAAATTTAATTTTTAAGAATGTATGTATCGATCGATTTTTTTCAAAATTTTTTGTGAGAAACTGGTACTAAATTAAGAATTTTTAAGCATAGTCTGATGATGGGCAAACGATGGGATCTATTTGTTTCTGATTTTTCAATTTTTATATTTATAGCTAAAAGTATGAAAAATGAATGAATTATCGTAAGAATGCGATAGAGAAGGACAGACAAAGCTCCTGTCCTCTTCTATCTCATTGTTTTGTTATAAGTTCACGTCTTAAGATTTCATTGTGCGTTGGCCTTTTTCTATTTTACGCGCTGCGTTCATCCGCTACATCTCAAACCTTTAAAATATTTAAACGGTCACGAAATTAAATGTTTTTCTACATATGAATATGCTTTCTCAAAATTACAATAAAGTAATTAATATCCTGAACGTCTTGTAATTCATTTTTCATACTTTTAGCTATAAATATAAAAATTGAAAAATCAGAAACAAATAGATCCCATCGTTTGCCCATCATCAGACTAGGCTTAAAAATTCTTAATTTAGTACCAGTTTCTTACAAAAAATTTTGAAAAAAATCGATCGATACATACATTCTTAAAAATTAAATTTTATTTTTAAAATTTTTTTGGTAAATTTAAAAAAAAAATTTTTTAATATTTTTATCAAAAACTACGTGTAAAAACAAAAATTTTCATATATCGAACGTCAAAATTGATCAATTTTTGTCCGAGTTATAAGCATTTCAGAAAAAAATTTACGTAAAAAACGTGATTTTTCAAAAACCTGTATCTCTTAAACCGCTTAATGAAAAAATTTGAAAAAAATCATGGTAGCTCATTTCAACGAGCACTAAAAGAAAAAAAATATTTGAAAAAAATCGGAGATGCAAAAGTCAAAAGGTGTCCGACTTGGCGTGGAATGCCCCATATATATATAATATTTCGTGATATTTGGAATTAATCGGTGGAAATTTTCTGAATTTTTTTTTCCTCGAACAATTACTTTTCTTTGCGATTATTTAAAAAACTGTATTAAAAAATTGCTATGGTGCAATTTTCTATTTAAAAAAATCAAGGCATCCGTGTCAATATGCATTTTTATCGTCTAAATATTGCACTAGTTCACGAAATCTTCGATTTCCAGATTACTTACGTAAATATATATGTATATACACACAAGCCAATGAAATTAGAAGGCGAACGTGAATTTCCATCCTCAGTGGTATAAAAATTCAACACAAGGGTACAATTTCCTGTTGGATTGCTTCCAGGAAAAAGTATAATTGTGTTTTGTAAAAATGTGTATTTAAAGAAATTGTAAAATAAAATTAAATATATATATGTGCTCAACACTTTAAAACGTGCATTGCTTTTTTTTTCCTTTTTTTGGTACATTAATGCGCGTAAAATTTTACAAGCTCATGCGGAAAAGCTGACAAAATTTATCATAATCCAACAACAAGTTCTTTTTTTTTGTTTTCTACTTCTATATATGATGAAAAAACTCCTTTTGATAAATATTCAATTTTTTACATTCTCATCAAGTGAGAGAGTTTTTTTTCTGAGCCCTTGTTGCTGAAATGTTGACTAATTATTACACTAAAAATATGTTTTTAATTTTGGTTAAAAAAAAATTTGTAGAAAAGAATTTATTAATACAATTGATTTCTATTTTAAAAATTAATTTTTATAGGTATAGTTCGATGTATTTTAGAATAAATATTTTTCTCTAATATTTTTTGAATAATTTCAGGAGGGGTTGAAGTTTTTTTTTTATTAAATTCGTGGAAAATAATTTTATTGTAAACAAACTTTGTTTTCGCTATTTAATTTTATTTGTTAGGATTTAAAAAAATTTTTTTTTGTTTGTATGTCAGGGGAAGTAGGCGTAGAGACTGGATTTAATTTCGAAATGCTTGCGGCTTTTATTTGCCTGGACGTTCCCTTCCATTGGGATTCACCCACCACCGTGAGGAAGGCGACCAATTGCGCACGCGCACTTCCCCCTCCATCCTACAAAGTTTCCCTCTCTACGGAGGACATTTAATATCCATTTATTGTTTTTCTTTTTAATCCAGACGATTGAAAGAATAAAAGAATTTCAAAAACAAAATTTGTGTAACAAAGTTTATAATTTTTTTATTTTTTAAAAATCTTATCACCAATACGAAGATTTTGTATTATTTAAAATTAATTTCCAAAAGTGAGTTTTTTCAATTATTTATTTCTATCTTTTTTTCCTATTTCTTTTTTTTTTTTTTTGTTTTGCGATGAAAGTAATTCAGCATGGACTTGTATTGTTGTGCAACTTGCAATCAATGTCGATTAAAAGATAATATAAAAACTAGTCATATTCGTAGAAACGATTTAGTATTTCGGCATTTATATAAATATTATATATTATTATTATTATTCTACACGACAAGGAGAGATACACTTTAAAATCTAACCTGTTTAAAGCACTTGAGTGACATGATAAAACTATCCAATAATTCCCCCCCCCTCCCCTCTTTTTTTCCTCTAGAAAAAAAAATTAATTTTTTAAGGGATAAGTTTTAATTTAAAAATAAAAATTAACAAAAACAAAGATTTTTTTATAAGAAAAAGCACACTGATAATAAAAGCAATAAGTTGGATTCTAAATTTTGTTAGATTTATTTAAAAAAAGAACATTTATTGAGTAAAATTTTGTTACTAACTAAAGAATATAATATATATTAAAAAAGAAATTAAGAAAGAAGGAATAATAAATACAAAAAGAAGCTGTACATAGTAATCATTCGTTATAAAAAAAAAAATAAATAAAAATTATTTAGCAAAGATGAAAGAAAATCTAATAACTGAATTGAAATACGAGATTAAAAAGTTGAACAAAGCTAATTTTTAGTTTTTTTAATATTAAGAATCCTTGTACTTTTAAATTACTTTGTCGAATCATTCTCTATAGTCTCAGTTTTATATATTTATAAAAGAATAAGAAACTTTTATTTCTCGGGAATTCTTTCTTAATTATATTCTTTCCTTCAAATGAAAGAAAATAAATGGGTTTTAAATTTTCTCTTAAACAAAAGAAAATGACTTTTTAAAAAAAAATAAATAAAATTGAAAAAAATTTACTGAAATCTGTATCGACATTTTTTTTTCATGTTATGTGTCCAGTTTTGTATCAGTTGCTGCGCTCATTGCGCATGCGCATGCCAAGTGTCGGTATATGTCGGTACAGATTCCTGTAATTTCAAAAAAAAAAAAAAATTAAAATTATTGTAAAATAAGTGAAACGAAATATAATAATAAATAAATAATTTTTAAATAATTTCTTGAAATAAAATAATTTTTAAATTATTTAAATCTGTCTTTTTAATTTCCCAAGAAAATAAATATTTTTCTCGTATCGTCCCAAGTTTGTGGTCTTGTGGTTCAGATCTCGACATACATCTTTATATACATGTATATTATAATTTCATTCTGCATATTTTATACAATATATATAATACTATATATATTATACTAGCTGTCGTACCCGTCTTCGACGGGTTGTAGTTTCTGATAATGCACTTAACAGTGTATCTACCAACCTAGAAAACCGGAAAATATCCGGGAATTTGATTTGACAGGGAAAAAATAATAATTAGTTACTATTGTCTATTTCATTAGGAAAATAATACCATTTGAAACAGTGACCGACTTTTTATTATCAAATTAGTTATTTTTAACTAATTCAAATGCAGAAAACAATATTTCTCAATTTGTAGTACTTCAATCAATATAATGTATTAAAATAAATCTAAAATTTCCTCCAGTTTTTTGAGTTATAGTACAGTCTAATTCGAACTAATTGTATAGCAAGTAGATCCAGTTTTTCTCGGTTACATTAAATTCCCTGATATTTTACGTCTTTTCTGGTTGGTAAACACCCTGTTAAATGTATTATTAAAAAAAACCCGTCCAGTAAACCAGGAAAAATTTGGACAAAGCCGGAAATTGTTTTAAACCAAAATAAACACCGTGTTTAACTTTTGTCTTTACATTGATCAAGATATCTCTAAAAGTTAAATCAGAGAGCCCACAAATACTACTGAATTAAGCTTCATAGCAATTGGTATCAATTATAATTTTTTCAATTTTTTGATATTCAAAACATTTTTATACTTACATCTTCGTTATAAGAAAGTATTTTTGAAAAATTATGCTAAAATGTGACTAAATAACATGTAATACTCAACTATAGAAAGTTTAGAAGCAATCCATGAAAAAATATAAAATTTAGAAATAATTTGTGTTAAATAAATTTATTTATTAGAGTCAAGTATTTATTTAATTAATCCAATTAAGATTTATTTGATTCAACTAAATAAAATTATTTAAACGAAATAAATTCTTATTAGATCGAAATAAAAACTTTTTAAATAAGATATTATTTTTCAAATAATTATAATTACTTGAATCATATAACTTTTTTTAGTGTAGCTATAGTAAACTAAAAGTTATTAATGTGAACGAACATTATCTATATTAATAAAATCAGATTACTATCTGTACATTGCTCCAAACTTGAAAATTTTTATATATTTTTTCGTTTTGAGACATTAGAATTCTAAAAATGTAAAAAAAATTTCTGTCTGTCTCTGTCTGTATGCAAAACTTTGTTCGCGCATCAATTGAAAACGGTTCAACCAATTAAAGTGAAATTTGGCAGTCTATTAGGTATTAAAGTAACTTACAATCATAGCCTTATCCGATTAAAAAATATTAACTTGAACAAAAGTTATGACATTTTTCCAAAAAATTCAAAAAAACAAAAAAATGCAAATTTTTTATCTTTTGTAAAATGAATGAAAAAACTATCCTTAGCTAACTTTTTCAGATAAATACAACCCATTTCTACGATAAAATTTTTAAAAAAGATGTATTTTGAAATTTTTTTTCGTTTTTTTAGATCAACTTTTTTCTAAGAAAATAGTGATTTTTAATCTTTAAGCAAGCTTTTCAGGAAAAGTTATTAAAGTTTTTTATTTAAAGATCAGTATGTAAAGTAAAAAATTTGCTACATTAAACAAAAATAATTAGCTAAATGCCATAAAAAAGAAGGAAAAATGTTGAATTTTAAGAAATTCGGTTTTTTGAATTTTTGCTAATTTTCCATAATTTTAGATTTTTTACCGAAGGGTGGAGATAACAAATTAGGTAAAGTATTTTTTAAGAGCACAAAAATAATAAAGCTAAATGCTACAAAAAAGAAGGAAAAATGTTGAATTTTAAGAAATTCGGTTTTTTGAATTTTTGCTAATTTTCCATAATTTTAGATTTTTTACCGAAGGGTGGAGACTATTGAATAAGTAAAGTATTTTTTAAGAGCACAAAAATAATAAAGCTAAATGCCATAAAAAGAAGGAAAAATGTTTAATTTTAAGAAATTCATTTTTTTGCATTTTTGCTATTTTTCCATAATTTTAGATTTTTTACCAAAGGGTGGAGATAACAAATTAGGTAAAGTATTTTTGAAGAGCCCAAAAATAATGAAGCCAAAAGCCATAAAAGAGAAGAAAAAATGTTGAATTTTAATAAATTCGGTTTATGAATTTTTGCTAATTTTCCATAATTTTAGATTTTTTACCAAAGGGTGGAGACTATTAAATATAAGTAAAGTATTTTTGAAGAGTACAAAAATAATGAAGCTTAATGATATAAAAGAGAAGAAAAAAATGTTAAATTTTAAGAAATTCGGTTTCTCGAATTTTTGATAATTTTTTATTTTTTGCTAAAGGGTGGAGACTATTCAAATAGTATAATTATACTACCGAAATAGCTAATGGTAACTAATTATTAATTAATTAATTATTAACTAATTATTAATTATTATTAATTAACTAATTATTAATTATTAATTATTAATTAATTTATCCCGGGTATTTTTGATTTTCCGCAGATTGGTAGAAACATTGTTAAATGTATTGGTAGAAACTAAAACCCGTCGAAGACGGGTACGACATGACAGCTAGTGCTATATATTTTCAAAATTTTTAAAATTCAAAATTTATCTTTTGAAATAATTATTGTCATTAATTTTACTTAAATTTTATACAGGGTTAATTTTAGTATTTTTTATTACAATTTAGTCATCAGAATGAAATTTGAGTTTTTCATTTTTTGATCATTAATTAATAAAATATAATAGCAATTTTGAATTATGTGCAACATACTGACAAAAGTCTCATATTAATTATATGGATATTGTTAATATTCTGACCTAATAGAATTCTTTTAAGAAAGTAAACTTATGATTTCAACAACAAATTTTTATTGTTGACCTAAGAAATACAACCGTATAAAAATTAATTACAAAAAAATTTCAATTTTTAAACTTTTTAATTTTTCAATATTTAAATCTAACACTTTTTATTTGTTATTCAAAATTTTATTATTCTGACGATTAAATCTTAATAAGAAACACTAAAATTAACCCTGTACCAAGTTTAAGTACAATTCACTAAAGTATATGAAAAAACTAAAAATTTCGAATTTTCGAATTTTTGAAAAAATGGCATAACTTTCGTCCATATTAATATTTTTTAATCTACTATCGCTAGGATTTTAAGTTAGGCTAATGCCTAAAAGACTGCCAAGTTTCACTTCAAACGATCGAACCGTTTTTCCGTGATACGCGGTCGAAAATTTGCGGACATACATACACACATACACACATACACACATACACACATATACACATACACACATAATTTTCTTAATAGTATTTTCGCATTCCTTAGAGTGTAAAAAGAAGGAATATAATAGAAATTTTGAATTCTATGCAATGTACAGACAAAAGTCTGATTTTATTAATAAGGATATTATATATTATATATTATATATTATATATTATATATTATATATTATATATTATATATTATATATTATATATTATATATTATTTATTATATATTATATATTATATATTATATATTATATATTATATATTATATATTATATATTATATATTATATATTATATATTATATATAATGTGTGACGTGCATTGAAGAAAAGTAATTAATAAAGCAAAAAATTTGAGGTTATGTTTGTAGTTTTTGAAATAAAAGTACTCAAAGTAGATTATTAACTCTAAGTAAAACCACTGACGTTTAAATCTTCTTTGCATCTAAAATAATCAACAGAAACTGATTTTAGTTTTATGGAATTAAACTGAAACTTTTAATAAAAGTAATTTTATATATTTTATATTGTATAATATATTTTATATATTGCATATCACACATATGCATATACATTTATATATTTATGAAATATGTACGAGATTAATAAGTCGGTTATTAGGTGTAAAGAAAAGTGAAAAAAATTATTGGATAAAAAAATGAAACATGCAAAATAGTAAAAATTGAAATAAATCGTAACCATTTACATACCATCTTCTTTACACAAATCAACTGAAATACATTAGGGACGTTTATCAATTTTTAAAATTCATAAAAGTCAACGCTGCTTAATTTCATAACTCTTTATTTTCTACATCAAACTCTCTGTTTAAAGTTGGGAAAAAAAAGTTTGATAAAAAAGTTTCTATATGAAATTTCTTTTTCTAAAATTTTAATTACTAGCGTTATTCTTAAAATTAAAGGAGGAATGATGTATATATATTATTTCTACACTACACTAGAGCTAATTTTAAAAGTTTTTCTTCTTACTTTTGGGTAGCTCCATGCCTAAAAAATCAAAGTTGTCCCCTACTTCTTCGATTTTGTTAAAACATCGAAAATTTGAAATGGAATACATGCCAGTAAAAAACCCTAAATCGATTTCGAAAAATTTTGAAAAATTTTGGATTTACGAGGTTTTTAAAAATTTTTTTGAAATTTTGAAAATGGTATATCTCAAAGGAAAATGAATAAAATTTAATGAAATTTTCAGGGAATGCTTATTGTTTACAGACAATTTAAGAAAATATTTTATAAAAAAAAAAATTTTTTTTTTAAACAAATTATTTAAAAAATAATTTTTAAATAAACAATTTTTTGAAAAGTGCCATTTTTTTTTGCTTTTAATAACAACGATCCGATTCCCACTTATTTCACGAGTATTTTCCAAAAAAAAAATCGATGGAGGGTCTGAAACTTTAGGAGATATTGAATTTTTTGTCCTTGCGCGCAACCGTAAAAAGCGAATTTTCAGGCTATACTCTGCATACAAACTAATGTTCAAAATCACCTATAATTCGTAAATTTTAACCGAATTCAATTTTTCTTTTTGGAAAATGTCAGGCTATAAATTTGTAAGAATACTGTGCATTTTTTAAATTTATATTTGTTTAAAAAAATTATTATTTTTATTGTTAATTACTAACTTTTCATATATTGTACCTAGAGAGGTGTATTTTTTCCAATTTTGCAATTTACCGGACCTTACATAAATACAGATGCAGATTTAAAACATAATTATTAATATTTAAGCATGATTTAAACAAATTATTATTGTTTATTTCTAATTATTTACGAAATAGTATACTAGAAAGATGCAGTTTTTTCTAATCATGCAAATTGACCAAACTTTTTCAAATCCCGATTTACATTAAAATAAAATTATAATTTAAACAAAAATAAGAATAATAATAATAATTTGTTTAAAAATTGTTTAAATAATAATTGTACTTTTAATTTTAATCTGAGAATGTCCATGCCAAAAAAATTAAAGTTGTCCCCTAGTTCTTCGATTTCTATGAAACTTCGAGAAATTGTCCCAGAACACTCGCAAATGAAAAGTGTGAAAACGATTTTATAATTATTTGTTAATCACGATTATAAATATTAAATAAATAACAAATTACCTATATTGAAAGCTTTTGAAATTTAAATACTTTCGGAGACATTGAGAACAAAAACACTTTATTGATTTTACAAAATTAAGTAAAATTAACTTTTGGAAAGTAAAATAACACAATTAATATTAAATTTAATTGTTATTAACAATTATTTAAACAATTTTTTAACCAGGTCAATTCTTATAAACAATTATTTTAAACAGATGAGTTTTAACTGAAGTAAATAATGATAAAATTATTTAATTTGTATTACGATGTTATTTTGTTTGGATTATTTAATTTGTCATATAAATTTAAGAAAGTTTATTAATTTTTTGTCAATAAAAAATTTTTATAACAATAAACCGCAGCACAACTAAAACACTTATCCTATCGTTAGTAGGTATGTAATATCATTATTTACTTTGTCAAAAATATTTCATAAAATTTATTAAATTTTTGTTGCGAAAAATGTTTATAACAATAATTGTTTTAAAAAAATATATTAGTTAAGCTTTTATTCCAGAGCTATAATAATAAACTACTGATTTCATAGAAATCAAAGAACTAGGGAACAACTTTAATTTTTTGGCATAGGCATGCCCAGATTAAAATTAAAAGTACAATTATTATTTAAACAATTTTTAAACAAATTATTATTATTATTCTTATTTTTGTTTAAATTATAATTTTATTTTTAATGTAAATCGGGATTTGAAAAAGTTTGGTCAATTTGCATGATTAGAAAAAACTGCATCTTTCTAGTATACTATTTCGTAAATAATTAGAAATAAACAATAATAATTTGTTTAAATCATGCTTAAATATTAATAATTATGTTTTAAATCTGCATCTGTATTTATGTAAGGTCCGGTAAATTGCAAAATTGGAAAAAATACACCTCTCTAGGTACAATATATGAAAAGTTAGTAATTAACAATAATAATAATAATTTGTTTAAACAAATATAAATTTAAAAAATGCACAGTATTCTTACAAATTTATAGCCTGACATTTTCCAAAAAGAAAAATTGAATTCGGTTAAAATTTACGAATTATAGGTGATTTTGAACATTAGTTTGTATGCAGAGTATAGCCTGAAAATTCGCTTTTTACGGTTGCGCGCAAGGACAAAAAATTCAATATCTCCTAAAGTTTCAGACCCTCCATCGATTTTTTTTTTGGAAAATACTCGTGAAATAAGTGGGAATCGGATCGTTGTTATTAAAAGCAAAAAAAAATGGCACTTTTCAAAAAATTGTTTATTTAAAAATTATTTTTTAAATAATTTGTTTAAAAAAAAAATTTTTTTTTTTATAAAATATTTTCTTAAATTGTCTGTAAACAATAAGCATTCCCTGAAAATTTCATTAAATTTTATTCATTTTCCTTTGAGATATACCATTTTCAAAATTTCAAAAAAATTTTTAAAAACCTCGTAAATCCAAAATTTTTCAAAATTTTTCGAAATCGATTTAGGGTTTTTTACTGGCATGTATTCCATTTCAAATTTTCGATGTTTTAACAAAATCGAAGAAGTAGGGGACAACTTTGATTTTTTAGGCATGGAGCTACCCTTTTAAAATATTTTTTCTATAACTTTGACTATATATAGTGAAAAATTTTCTTGTAATTTGAGGCTCGTCTCTCACAAACACATATAATCACATACATACATGTATATACAACGTACATAGATATATAACTTTAAAAGAGCTTGTCGTTAACGAAGCTAATAATTAATCTATAAATTTTCCCAGTGGAGTATGCGCGAATTCCCTTACGAAATAATTCAATTTCCCAGGTGAAAGATTAAACCACCTCCTTGATATGTTTTCGTTAATATTTCCATCGGTATTAATTAGTCACAACGTTTTATAATCAAACTAATGTTAATGGATTTATTTTTTTTTTGCCTGTAAATTATTTACATTGCAAAAAAAAAAATACGAAACAAATTTTTATTTACTGCAAAGTTCAAAGTAAACTAATTTCAATACTCTAATATTATTAATTATTAATATAACTTAATATTCAGATATTTAAATAAAAATTATGCATAAAATAGTTTAATATTAATAACTTTATTAAAATAAGATTGTTAAAATATTATAATATTACTATAAATAATAACATTCTATTAAAAAACAATTCTTTCCATTGTCAGTTTAATTTAAAACTTTTCAATATAATAACATTTAGAGAGAATTTTCCTACAAAAACGAAGTTTTCCGACGATTTGCAAACCTCGCAAACCTAATTCAAAACAGCGAAACTCAAGAGTCCAGCAAAGCCCTAAGTTCATAATTGAGAACTAATTTTCGTCTAATATCATTTCGATACCTCCATGTATTACAATCCTATCTTACGGTGAAGGTTAATACAGTCCTATCTTGCGGTAACGTTTTATACAGTTCTATCTTGAAGTGACGGTTTATACCATTCTATCTCAAAATTTTCAATTTTTCAGTTTTTTGCTAAAATTATAGAAGAAAATATTCTGTATTAGATGGTAACACCTAAAATAGTTATATTAATTAGGATATTTATAAAAAACAGTAATTAGAAATAATAACAAGTTTTATCTTCCAAGTAAAAGTGTTCTATCTTTCTTTTGTTTTTGTATCTGTCAAAAAAAATATACACATGTGATTCGTATAATCGCGTTAGAAAAGCAAAAAAGAACAAAAGGTAGAAAATGGATATCCCTTTGGATTTAAGTATGCCATCAGGAAAAAAATTCTTTACTGAATAATAATAAAAATATATAAATTTATAAAGTGATTATTTTATCTGTTAATTTTGCTTTATTTTAACTTTTCTTACACCAGGAGAGACTTGTTCTGACGTAGAAATTGAGATCATTCGAATTCAGACTCGGATTGACTATTTTGACTAATATTACAGATACTTTTATTATTATAATTATATTGTAATTTATAATCTTGTTATCGTTTGTGAAATATATAATAAAATACTAGTATAATATAATCCTTGAAACATACTTATTAATTCTATATTGGAGTGACGTTTTCAACGTTTATTAAAGTAAAATAATGTAGATTTTTAAATTATTTTATTATTATTCTATTTGTATTCTCACTTGTGTAAAAATTTTCTACAATCAAAACCTCGTTTACTTACTTATTTAAATATTTGTATCTATACTTAAAACTCATAAAAATGATACGTTTATTTTAACTAATAATAATTGATAATTAAAATTAAACAAGAAAACTAACAACATTATTTTTATCATTCCACTATCCCGTGAAATATTAACCTGTCATAAAATTAGGTTAATTAACCTTTGTAGACGTATTAAGAATGCATTTTCTTGGCTTGATTTTATATAATTGTGTTTTATTTATGTATATTATGATAGAAAAATCTTTAAAGAATTACATAAAAATTATCTTATGAATATCAAACTGTCATTAATATTTTTAATATGGAATTTACTTTTAATTTGGCTCTTACGCAAAATTGGCAAATTTGAGATAGAATGGTATAAACGGTCACTTCAAGATAGAACTGTATAGAACGTTACCGCAAGATAGGACTGTATTAACCTTCACCATAAGATAGGATTGTAATACATGGAGGTATCGATTTTCTCTTGACAAATTTCTCATACCTTATTTTCATTATTTTTCGTGTTGAAAACAATTTTTTTTTTCTAAATATAAGAACAGAAACTTTTTTTCTAAATAAACAGTAATGGGAAAAAATGCTTATTTCACAGCCTAAAAAGGCGATGCTAGAAAAAATTATCCTTTCCCTTTAAAAGATTAGAAAAAATATTGTTAAAATCGGAAAAAAAATTCACGAAGAAAAATTTTATAAATAAATGAATAATATATAAATTAAAAAAATAAAGAAAACAAATAAATAATCATAAGGAGGAGTTATTAAAATTTTTACAAATCATTATAGGGGTGGAGATTTTTTCAGCCACGCCCAAAGTGGGCGTGTCTTCTAATATAGAATAAGAAGACGCCCATTTTAGGCGTGGCTGAAAAATTCTAGCCGCTTTTGAGGATTTATCTATAAACTTCATAGGACTTCAAGAGGAGAAAACGCCCACTTTGGGCGTGGCTTATTTTTATAGACAGGAACCATTCTAAACCACGCCCACAGTGGGCGTTTATTTTTACGGTTATAAACTTTTTAATTCGAAAATTGGTAACGATTCTTTTAAATATAACTTGGAATGGTGTTCTTCTAATAAAACAAACGCCTATTTTAGGAGTGACTGACATTTTTGATTGGGAACCATTTAAACAACGCCTACAGTGGGCATTAATTTTTAGTATTGCAAACATTTATAAGTCGAGAACTAAAGAAAATAATAATAAATAATGATAAATAAAAACTAAGTAAACCCCAAGTGAAGGTCAAAGTAAATAAATGAGTTACTCCTTTAAAAATTATAGACCACGCCCAAAAAGGGGCGTTACTAAAAAGTTACAACCCTCTGTGGGCGGATTCATTAAAATTACTGGATAAAACAGAGTATACAATAAGGACTGAATGATAAAAAAAAATATAACAATAAAAAAAAATTCCAGTCAGGTCAAATAATTTTTTTTTATTTCTCAAAATTATTTATTCCACAGATTTGATTATAATGTTGCAAAACAATCAAAGGGATAAGCAATACAATTAATGGAATTGTATACATTTCAAAAGGACAATTTAACAAAACTAATTAAATTTAGCGTTTTATTATAATGATGAGAGAATTAAATTGAAAATATTGAATTGTTGTTCGGTCATTAAACTTTAATTGACTTTTGTAATGAAATTCGATAACAAAACAGTATTTCTCCTTGAGTTATTCATCAATAAAGGAGATTATTATACGTATAACTATATATATATATATATATATATATATATATATATATATATATATATATATATATATATATAAACTCGTTCTCTATTGTAATTTCAAACTCTCTATATATATGTATTAGTTGTCTTTAATTGCTCCAAGCAAAATTTCAATTTATGCATTTGAACAAACATACATATATCGAAAACTATTAACCAACCTCCTATCATATAGTGAAATACATATATTTTTCTTTATATAGTAAAAAAAAGAATTTTTTTTTAATGAACAACATCAAACATTAAACACTCCTCAAAACACAAGAAAAACAACTGTGCAAATAGGAACGTGCATCATTTCAAAAATTGTATATTAATATATACTTTTTTTCTTGAAACTAAACAGTAAAACAACAATTCAGAGAAAGAAATAGAAAAAATAATAATTAAACATTATTTTCTCATGTGGATAGATTTTAGAAAGACTTCTGGAGGTGATTTCTTAAATTCCCTCCACATGGTTAATGTATATATTTATTACTTATAATTAAATAAATAAGTATAAAAATTATTACTATTTTATGTAAAAAATTTATTAAATAATCTTATATTGAAAAATCATATGGGTTCCTATAAGAACTCATAGGTTTCTATACGAACCTATATGGGAACCTATTTAATTTTTCATATGGTTTCTACATTGAATTCTATGTGCTGTTAAGAAATGTGGGAACTCACATGGGTTACTATATATCCTACGTGGGTTCCAATTTGTATTTTTTAAATTAAACAACAAATATAAAAACCCATATGAGAGCCTACATGGAAACCCACATAGGTCCTGTTTCAAAAAATAATAACTTGTATGGGAACCTATATGAATTCTCATATGAATTATATACTTGAAATATAAAATCCTATATGGGTTTCCATTTGCAAATATAATAAACCTATAGTATAAGAATAATAATTTTAATAATAAAAGAAGAAGAATTTAAATTAAATCCCATATATGGGCTCTTATTTAAAATATACTCTTCAACAACAAAATCCTATATAGGTTCTTAAGAAGGAATATTATATGGGTTTTCACTTGTAAATATAATAAACCTGTATGGGCATCTATGTGGGTTCTTATTTAAATTATATATACTTGAAATACAAAATCCAATATAGGTTCTTATAAAGTTATGGGTTCCAATTAAGAAACTTTAATACTGATCTGGAAATCTATATGGGTTCCCATATAAATGATATATTTGAAATATATATTCCCATATAGGTTTCCATTAAGGTTACTATATTTTGAAATAGGAACCTATGTAAGTTTTCATGTAAATTTTCATATGGGTTCCTATATCGGTTATTATATTTGCTGTATAATTCAAAAGATACGAATGAGATCCCACGTGGGGAAATATATTTGAAGTTATGTGAGTTCCTATATTGCTTAACACTACAGGATCCTACGCAGGATCCCATATGAAAAATTATATATGGGTTCCTATGAGAACCCATACAAACCCATATGGGTTCCCATAGGAACCCATGTAAATTTCCAATATGGTGAATTTCTTCTATTGAAATTATTTATTTAATATGGAAAATTATATGGGTTCCTATGAGAACCCATATGAAATAGAAACCTATTTAATTTTCAATATTGGAAAATAAATAGGAAGTTATATGGGTTCCCACATTCCTTAACACCATATAGGAGTCTACGTTGAATCCCATAGGGAATATTAGATATGCAAATTGCAAATTATGAATAACACTACTTGAGAATGAGTTTTAACAAATTTTATGCTTTTAGTTTGATGATTTGTTAAATAGTGATAGAAATGCTGCGCTTATTCTTTCTCTCTCTCTCCCTCAAAAAAAAAAATGAAGGAATTCTCGTCATATTTTCAGTTAGATTATTTTATGAGATTGCGCAACACAAAGAGAATAATAATGCGTAAGGCTTTTAGGAGTATTTCTTTTGTATATGCATTTTGTCTTGACGTGTGCATCCTGTTAAACAGTCATCAGTGTATATAGTGAACAAAAAAATTCCCCAGCGAAACTCATTTTCATTTTAGTATATGCACATTTTCTTCTGCTTTTTGTTTTCTTTTTTGACCCAGTAATTTTAATGATCTCACAAAAGCAATAGAGATGAAAATATAAGAGTAAAACAGTGTAAAAGAGTATTGAAAAAAGTTGTTTTTCTTCGATTGTAAATGATTCAATATAAGATGAGGGACTATTTTTGAAAATACGTAAAATTAAGTTGAGATGATAATTATTTTTTTGGGGGGGAAATTGAATATAAAAAAGAGAGAGGTTTTGATTGGTTCAATTCCTTGAAGCTTTTCCCAATAAGGAATCTTTTCACGTGGAAAATTTATAAGCACAGCATTTCATCAAATTAAAATTAATATAATTATTAATTTTATTTTTTTAACCAAAGAATCAAGAGATCAAATAAAAAATTAAACAATTAGATAGGGTATACAAGAATTATGTGGTTCTAACAAATTCATGACAATATTCAAGTAAAAACAACAGTTTTTTTTAATCAAATATCTAGAAACATCCGAAGCAACTAAATAAAATAAAAAACACCGACAATTAGATGCAACAGTGTTCTACTTGACAAAGAATATTTCTACCAAAAAAAAAGAAATACAAAAAAGACAAATATTATTCATAAGCAGGCTCACCTTTCCCAGTGGTGTCGATGGTTGTCCGGCTGGTGTTGGATCCTTTATGTAAATATTCCACGTGGCAACACTGTTGATGGCCTTATCTGCCGCGTAACACCTCCATAAACACTGTATTAACATTGCAGCCGCCGGAATTTGTCGGTTAAAGTGTTTCTGCCTCTGCTTTTGTTGCACTTTCAAAGCAAAGCCAGAACCGAGTATACCCTGTAAAATCACGATCAAAACTCCTGTGTGAAGATCTAATTTTATGTTCGAGTCAGCTTTTTGCTTAAAATTTAATTATACACATATATTCACTACTCACTTATGCTCAATAAGAAAATTAAATTCCAAGTTTTATTAAAATAAATAATATATACGTATTTAAATCTTGTTTATAAACAAAATATCTAGTTTTTAAATTATCTAATTATAAACTAATTTTATAAAACTTTGAATATTTGGGGCATTTCACAGTGTAGGAAAAAACTGACCGAAACCCAAAAGAAAAATTATAAATTTTAAAAATGAACGGTACGAGAAGAGAAATTTTTGATTTTTTAAAAATTGTACGTCATTTTGAATTTTGAAAACAGGACTTCAGATTCATAAGCAGCACGATCTCGATTGGTACGCAATTTTACAATTCTTGACCATTTGGTCGTATTCGAAACATCAGTGGCATAAAACTTAGCACCTAGACACTTTTCTAAATTAAGCAGCCTAAAAAACAAATTTTAATGATCCTGACCGGTGAAAGCCTCCTTGTTAGAATTGCCTGTGATTTTAATCGAAAGGTCTCCCTTTTGTGTAGCTCTTGCGGTTAGAAGCTTTGTGTAGCTGACGTCTACATTAATTTCTTTATAAAAAGTTTCACCAAAACGTCAGCATATATTGTCTATCCTGGGTGTCGATTTCGTAACTATCCCATTTCACAAATTTCATTTTTCGCATTCCAAAAAATCAGATTTTTTGAAAAAAAATTTCTTGTTACTTGTAAAATTTATGTTGATTAGCAAGAAATTCTCTAGCCTGAAGCGGTGCGATATCATATGATATTATAACCTTTGGCCCCTGGCAAATGTGACCGGTTCGACGTCCGAGTAATTGATAAATTTTGTCTAATTTCCGTGTTCTCGTGAAATTAGGCATAAGTGGGAGTTTGCGGGTTGAATCGCGGGGTCGGTGAAAAGTGCGAATAATTAATTTAATAATCGACTTTCGCAATTCGTCGACCACGGATTCAGCTGCGGCTACACTCTCACGTGCCGGCCGAGGACACGGAAAGGTAGTTGTCTTTGTAGTCAAAATATTTGTTTTAATTTCTTTTTTTTAATGTAATTAGTCTTTTATTTATCAAATCCATTTTTTTTGTTTTATTTATATAAAGTGTGGCCGTTAATATCAATCGGATTTAATAGAATCATGAAAGAAAGGATTGCTATATTAATAAAGCCAGGATCAACGATAATGCTCGGATGTTGAACGATGCACATTCCCTGGATTTTTGATCTGACAGAATCATTGCGAGAGTTGCAGAGAATGCTCCGTAAGTTGTGCCTAAATTTAATACAAGATCTTTACACCTAATTATTTAGGGTAAAAAATTTCACAATGACCAGAATTTCACAAATTGTTCATTAATGAGTATGACGTGTGATTTTATTTTCTGATTGATTTAATTATAAGAGAGTGAATTTGGTCGCGAGGCGAATTGTGTATTAATAATTATTTTAAATATCTCTTTGCTGTTTTTAACGTATTATTTATAATTTTTATTGTATTTAAGTTGACCAATTTCTTTATATATTTTTTAATTTGTATGTGTTTATGTATTTAATTTATTGATTGCGTATTTTTATATATTCTGTAATTGAATTCCTGACGTCAGGCCCTTTTTTCATGTTGATTTTGACTGAAATATAATTTATATTTTTTGTGTGAATTGTTTGTATATTTTTCAATATCATTTATTTTGTTGTTTTTGATTTATTTGATTATTTAATGGTTTATTTAAATTATTTATTTTGAAATTATATTATTTTTGTAATTTTTATTGTCGCGGTTTTTATTTATATTTTTAAGTAGTAAAAATCGTTACAAGCCATTTTGGAAAGATTTGGAAATAAATTTTCATTTTCTTTCCATCATTTTAAAATATCAACATTTTTAGGTGCTCTTTTTGAGAAAAATAAAGATCGATTTCGTATTGACACTGATTATTTTGAGATGCATTCTTTGTAATTTGTATCGACAGTCGAAGAGAAACACGAATTCACAACAGTTTTAAAGTCATCAAATTGGGTTTATCCCACTCTTAAATCGCATTTATTTAACTCTTAAAATATTTCTTCACTGTCATTACTAATACAAAGAAGCTTAACTAACCCTAAAAGTTAATCAGATTATTCATTTATTCACTTCTATCCTAATCTTACATTACTATCTTTTAGATTGTACGTTTACTTCACTCTTTAATCGCATTTATATAACTCTTAGTATTTCTTCACTGTCATTACTAATACAAAGAAGCTTAACTGACCCTAAATGTTAATCAGATTATTCATTTATTCACTTCTATCCTAATCTTACATTAATATTCTACCATTCTGACATTTACTTCACTCTTAAATCGGATTTATTTAACTCTTACTATTTCTTCACTGTCATTACTAATACAAAGAAGCTTAACTGACCCTAAAAGTTAATCAGATTATTCATTTACTCACTTCTATCCTAATCTTACATTAATATTCTACCATTCTGACATTTACTTCACTTTTAAATCGGATTTATTTAACTCTTACTATTTCTTCACTGTCATGACTAATACAAAGAAGCTTAACTGACCCTAAATGTTATTCTGATTATTCATTTATTCACTTCTACCTTAATCCTACATTCCTATCTTTTAGATTGGACGTTTACTTCACTCTTAAATCGCATTTATTTAACTCTTACTATTTCTTCACTGTCATTACTAATACAAAGAAGCTTAACTGACCCTAAAAGTTAATCAGATTATTCATTTACTCACTTCTATCCTAATCTTACATTAATATTCTACCATTCTGACATTTACTTCACTCTTAAATCGGATTTATTTAACTCTTACTATTTCTTCACTGTCATTACTAATACAAAGAAGCTTAACTAACCCTAAAAGTTAATCAGATTATTCATTTATTCACTTCTATCCTAATCTTACATTACTATCTTTTAGATTGTACGTTTACTTCACTCTTTAATCGCATTTATATAACTCTTAGTATTTCTTCACTGTCATTACTAATACAAAGAAGCTTAACTGACCCTAAATGTTAATCAGATTATTCATTTATTCACTTCTATCCTAATCGTACATTAATATTCTACCATTCTGACATTTACTTCACTCTTAAATCGGATTTATTTAACTCTTACTATTTCTTCACTGTCATTACTAATACAAAGAAGCTTAACTGACCCTAAAAGTTAATCAGATTATTCATTTACTCACTTCTATCCTAATCTTACATTAATATTCTACCATTCTGACATTTACTTCACTCTTAAATCGGATTTATTTAACTCTTACTATTTCTTCACTGTCATGACTAATACAAAGAAGCTTAACTGACCCTAAATGTTATTCTGATTATTCATTTATTCACTTCTACCTTAATCCTACATTCCTATCTTTTAGATTGGACGTTTACTTCACTCTTAAATCGCATTTATTTAACTCTTACTATTTCTTCACTGCCATTACTAATACAAAGAAGCTTAACTGACCCTAAAAGTTAATCTGATTATTCATTTATTCACTTCTATCCTAATCCTACATTACTATCTTTTAGATTGGACGTTTACTTCACTCTTAAATCGCATTTATTTAACTCTTACTATTACTTCACTGTCATTTCTAATACAAAGAAGCTTAACTGACCCTAAAAGTTAATCTGATTATTCATTTATTCACTTCTATCCTAATCCTACATTACTATCTTTTAGATTGGACGTTTACTTCACTCTTAAATCGCATTTATTTAACTCTTACTATTACTTCACTGTCATTTCTAATACAAAGAAGCTTAACTGACCCTAAAAGTTAATCTGATTATTCATTTATTCACTTCTATCCTAATCCTACATTACTATCTTTTAGATTGGACGTTTACTTCACTCTTAAGTCGCATTTATTTAACTCTTAAAATATTTCTTCACTGTCATTACTAATACAAAGAAGCTTAACTAACCCTAAAAGTTAATCAGATTATTCATTTATTCACTTCTATCCTAATCTTACATTACTATCTTTTAGATTGGACGTTTACTTCACTCTTTAATCGCATTTATATAACTCTTAGTATTTCTTCACTGTCATTACTAATACAAAGAAGCTTAACTGACCCTAAATGTTAATCAGATTATTCATTTATTCACTTCTATCCTAATCTTACATTAATATTCTACCATTCTGACATTTACTTCACTCTTAAATCGGATTTATTTAACTCTTACTATTTCTTCACTGTCATTACTAATACAAAGAAGCTTAACTGACCCTAAATGTTAATCTGATTATTCATTTATTCACTTCTATCCTAATCCTACATTACTATCTTTTAGATTGGACGTTTACTTCACTCTTAAATCGCATTTATTTAACTCTTACTATTTCTTCACTGTCATTACTAATACAAAGAAGCTTAACTGATCCTAAAAGTTAATCAGATTATTCATTTATTCACTTCTATCCTAATCTTACATTAATATTCTACCATTCTGACATTTACTTCACTCTTAAGTCGGATTTATTTAACTCTTACTATTTCTTCACTGTCATTACTAATACAAAGAAGCTTAACTGACCCTAAAAGTTAATCAGATTATTCATTTACTCACTTCTATCCTAATCTTACATTAATATTCTACCATTCTGACATTTACTTCACTCTTAAATCGGATTTATTTAACTCTTACTATTTCTTCACTGTCATGACTAATACAAAGAAGCTTAACTGACCCTAAATGTTATTCTGATTATTCATTTATTCACTTCTACCTTAATCCTACATTCCTATCTTTTAGATTGGACGTTTACTTCACTCTTAAATCGCATTTATTTAACTCTTACTATTTCTTCACTGTCATTACTAATACAAAGAAGCTTAACTGACCCTAAAAGTTAATCAGATTATTCATTTACTCACTTCTATCCTAATCTTACATTAATATTCTAC